AACCAAGCTTCTTTTCCCTTTCATGCAACATGGTCAGGTACTACTACTGCAGCTTAGCTTTCACTTACCCAGAGAAAAGAGAGAGGACATAAACAGTTACATGCATCATCTACCCTGCAACAATTTGCTTGTTTGTCCACATGCTCAGAGACCGTGCCCTTGTTCTGTGTTGTGCTGTCCTGATTGGAATTGCAGTCCAGCTACCTTCATACTGTCACAACCCAAAGTTGTGGATTTTTTGATTGTGGGTGCTTCGGCACTGCTAAATTATGTTCCCGCCAAATTGCAGCTCTTTTGCACGACGGAGTGTTCTGTTGTTATAGAGAACCCGTGTGCAGAAAAGTGTTTCCCGCCGTTTTGTAGCCTTCTTTGCATTGTGCATTTCTCTTGCATTTAGTGATAGTTTCATAGTTTCATAGTTTTAGGGTCGGAAGGGACCTAATAGATCTTCTAGCCCGACCCCCCGCCAGGGCGGGAGAACAACAAAAGAACCCTAGGTTTCCGCCCAAGTTGGAGAGAAAGACGGAAAGAGAGATGGATCTCTAAGCGCTGTGGGTCCTTTCGAACTCAGCACGTCTTTCTTAAGAAGGCGATCAAGGCTCCAATTGCCGAAGCCCTGGAGCCTAGCAAACTCCGGGGCACCACTTACCAACGGCCTCTAGCCTCTCCCTGTCACCGATCGCAGTCCAGACGAATCCCTACCCTAGAACCCAGTTATCGAAACCACGGAGTCTGAACCACTCCGAGGATCCTGGGAACCGAGTTTAGAGTCCTCCAACGAGGATTGAAGCGGAGCCGTACCTGGAAACTGTCCAGCCTGCACCGCGACCATCACCGGTGTAAGTAAATAATCTTTTCAATCAACCATTACGCCTCCGTGACTGATTCTAGCTCAGGCGTACTACTCCACCCCGCGACTTTTCTCTGGCCCCACGTGCCCGGGCTGCCGGCCACAGCCCGCGTGCACACAGACGGGCCCGGCTCGCGCCCGGCGAGGACAGGACCGGGAGCTGGCCCGCACACATACCACTAGGTGTAGCTGCCCTGAATAACCAGGGGCTTAGCTGGAGAAGTTTAGGAGAAAAGTCACAGCAAGAAGAGAGGGAGTATGGAGCATGCTGGATCACAGAACAGCTGAAAAACCCCTGCACAGCATGAACAGACTGTGATTTTTGGAGATCTGTAATTCAGCCACGCTTAGGTCGAATTTCCCAGCGGTGCAAGGGACACTTCACAGACTCTCAGCTGACATCACCACCATATTTCACATGTCTGCTCTACTAGGCAGTTTCATATTTAAACAACTTTAAGCATATTTTTGCATTGGCCAAAAATTGTATTTGCTCCAATCTTCTGAGAAAATGCTGAACTGTTTCAACCAAAACTTTCCAAAGAAATGCAGCCCATGGCAGAAATCTGGCACAGGAGATCTAAGCCCAGCTTTAGTCTGACAGCTTTATAAGACACTGAGAAGTCTTCTAACAGGAAGTGTCAGGCTACCTTAATTGTAATCATTGCTACCAGCCTTTGCTATAATATACATCTGCCCAGGAGTGGGCTATGGTGAGGTTTGAGGGTTAATGCTCTGTGGGTTTCCCACAGAGTCTGTCCCTGGTTACAGCCCTCTCTGAGTATGTCAGAAGGCTGGTGCAGTGAATCCCAGGGGGATTTCACTAGGAGCATCCACCGAGAATGATTCTTAGAGCAGGCCAGCCCCTAGTTGGTGGGATGTTGCCCCTGGGATGCCAGCAGCGTTCAGCATAGAGGAGTCAGTGAAACCCTAAAAAAGGCAATGCCAAGCACAAGGGCAGATCTAGAGGGGAGTTGGAGGTGCTGTCTCACCCCCAACTCTGTTTTCTGCTTCACTCAGAGTTTAAAACAAACTGCCAGGCAGCACAGCTGCATTTCCTTTCAGGTGGAATAAAGAGAATCAATTGAGTTCATGGGTCATTATTATCTACTTGATTTCTGCTAAGCTCTTCCCTCCATAGGTGTTACCAACCCTATGGTGAAGAGTGGGGGCGAGACTGCTTAGGAGGGGCTTTGAGGGGAAGGGGCTCTGAGGGGCCATGAGGGACTGGATGGGGGGATTGTGGGCACCAAGGGGCTTTTGGGAAGAGGGGGCTTATGGGGTGCAGGGGTGTGGGGTGAAGAGGAGCTGGAGCATTATGGGGATGGAGTGGTTTGAGGGGCAGATGGGACAGTTGTTTTGGGGCCCAGGTGGGTGTTGGAGTGAATGGGGGTGAAACGAGCTGTGAAAAGAGTTTGGAATAAGAAGGGTGAGGGAGCACAAGGGTTTTGACGAGCTCCAGTGAGGTCTGAATGCACAGAAGGGCAGGGGAGGGCTCAGCAGGGTGTGAGGGGGATGGTAAGGGTCAGGGGCCTGGGACATGATGGGGAGGAGCCTGTGCAAGGTGCAGCAGGTTCATGGGGGCTGTGACAGTCAGGGGGATGGTGGAATCTGATGGGGTCGGGGCAGGATGGGGTGGGGCTGAGAATGGGGATACGTGGGATAACAGGGGGCAGAGATGGCAGGGGCAATGCAGGGAAAGCAGTGAGGGGCACTGGGTGGAGTGCCTGAGGGACTTGAGTGGGGTTGCAGGAGGCAGTTCAGTCCATGACCAGGTTGCGGGGTAACAGCTGTGCTACCCTGGCACCAGATGCCTGCCCCACCCTGGAGCTGGCAGTCCCCTATAGACTCAGGTGCTTTTGCTGGGATCACAGTCTGACTAACACAGCATCTGGCATATTAGCAAAACTTTGAGTTTCTTTTTATTTTGAGAAAAATCTACGTTGTGCTGTGGGACAATGCACCACATCGCTTGCACCCCCTCTTTCTCAGAATCCTGCATCTGCCCATGGCTAGGTGTGCCCCATACCTGAAACAAGCTGTAGGTGTCAGAATGGGTCTGGAGAGAAGGAAGCTGATACCCAAATGGTGGTGGTCGCCTTCGCGGTGGCCATGGCTGTGACGGTGGCAGTACTATCATAGGTTCAGACACGTCACTTTCAGGAGGAGGAAGTGGACGTACTGGACGATTCTTGGG